GTATATTTTTTGCTATTTGTATTACCAGCTAAAGAAGACAGTTTATGTGTTATAACTTGCGTGTTATTGTGAAGACCCTGTATGGCATCTATATCTAGCCTAAATCTGAAACATTGTATCAAAATGTTAAATCGGACTGTGACGCAGCAGTTTGTATCTGTCAGTCTATGAGACATTTGCTTGTATGTTGCAGTCCATAAAATATCTGCTTTAGTTCATTCATAAAAATTGTTTTCTTTTTTCGCGTTCATTACGAATGAATTGAACGCGAAGAACCAATATGAAGGAGTACAATATGAAGGAGTACAATACAATATGAAGGAGTACAATACAATAAATAATGAACAATTCTCAAAGTGTAAAGTTAACGGAGAAAAAAAATGAGCATATAATAATATATTATTACGACACATCAAAGCCATTGGTAGAGGGGCTACAGGTGGCCGAATGGTCTAATGGGCTCGTATTTACCCATGGCCGCCATCAAATCCTTGTCTGTGTTGGTTAGAATCAATGGCCAAAGTTGTCAGTTTCTTCCACCACTATTTATACTGGCCGCCATGTATAGCATATCATGCACTGAGAAATGGCGTTAAACCCAAAACAACATCAACTATTGGTACATCAGTACATTCGAGGTTATTGGTAGATCAGCGCATTCTGTACATTTGAAACTTGGGTTCATTTGGATTTAGTTGACAATACTGTAAGTGTCTCTTAAAATTGTCAATTTGTATTCCAGGGAAATATTTTGTTTGTTGAATTGCACAGATATTGTTGGCTTCGCTTCATTCTGTTACTTTAAGACCATAGAGTTGTAATATTTGTGAAAAAACAGATTTGTGGGGTGTGTGTTAATCAATGACTCAGAAATAATGTATGCATAATACTTTCTATAGCTGTATTCCTTTAATTTTGGTACACACTTGGAAGTATAACCTCATCATATTCTATCGGTAGTCCATTTATATTTTCTATAATACTGTATATCATGCACATTTGCACAATATACTTATAGGTCACTGCATTTCTATGACAAAATATGAATAGGTTTTTAGGTTGTTTTCTACTGCACGACCGTAGGAGTGCAGTATATCCATCTGACAAAAAGAGTTCAAATTTTCCATACAATTTATATGATATGCTCATTATCTTGATCGTCCCAATGCTTAAATATATAAACAAAAATACACTACAAAAAACAAAGTATCCGAATGTATGCCGTATTCCAAACTAAATATACAAGCGTAGCTGCATCATTACACATTATTAATGACCACGTAACTCCGAAAGAAAATGGCGTCTGATCTAATTAAAATTGAAAATTGGAGTAATATTGATAATAAATACGCATTGCAACAACTTTTCCATTTGCTTTAGAATGAATACGTTTTGGTATTTTTTTGTCGGTTCGACGCAATTTTGTGATTATGATCTGGACTTATCTACATAAAGTAACATAGATCGGATTCCAGCAGCGTCTGCCAAATTAATCGTATTGAAGAGTGTTGATATCGGCATGCGTGGTTCTATTGTCATTGAAAGATTCAGATCTTAATGTGGGAAAATTATGCAGACTTTTAATTGCAAATATCGAAAAGATGTTTTGGAATTTGATATTTACTTCATTTTGAACTCATTAAGGAGGATATAACTGCACTTAAAATATACTCGAAAATGCAGTACAATTGGGTAATCAACCTTGATGACCCATTCCATGGCTCGTGTAATTCGGATTAGCAGAACTACACAAATCTGCAAATCCGAATTACACGAGCCATGTAATGGGTTTAATTTGCGGTATACTATAACGGAACATATGCTGTTGGAAACTGTTAACATCTTTTAAAAATTTTCCTCCGCGTACTAGTCTGTAAAATAATGTTATGGAACCAATGGAATGCTGTTGAAATTCATGTTCAAGGTGGGTATTAAGAAATCGCGTCGTATATAGGATGATGCCCGTTTTGCTCCGTCCCATCTTATTTACAAAGAAATGTATTCATTCTGATAACCTATACAAAGCGTGAAATGAATATGGTAAGAGGGTGCTTCATATGAAGTTACAATATGTTGTGGAAAATATTGCTATTGTTGTTGTTGTTGCTTGGGTTCAAAGCCATTTCTCAGCGCATCATGTTATACGGGGGGGGGGGATAGCATAACTGATGGAGGAAAAATCTCGAATAAATCCTTGTAAGAACCACCAACCTTTTGGAAGATACTGGCAAGCTTTGTCACGTGCCTACACTGGTCGAGCCCAAGAATTCAGTTATATGTGTCGTGAAGTCCTTTCTACGTAAGTAAGATGCGGCCTCTTTCCTTTAGAGTGATGTTATTTATGATAAACGAAATTATGTCATCGAAATAATAAATGCCCGTTAAGTAGTGTTGTCCTTAATAGCACAAATGTTTATAGCAACTGCGGAATAAGCTATTTCAAATATCCCTTGAGAAGCTGTTATGAACATAATACTTAACCGAAGTCACTGAAGTCAAACATGCATGTTACAGTGGTCATGTTTTGGTAGCTTGATTTTGTACGTATCAAGAGGCGACTACACAAAAAGTTACATCCTTATTTGGAAAATTAAAGCAAACTTCACAAAGATCACTGATGTGTGAAATGTACGTCACAGTGGCCTACTTAGAAGACATAAACTCATCTACATATGCCTTCTACATTAATGGGGGTTTTTTTGACAGGAAAAATGCCTTAGAAACTGCCCTAAACTCAAAACCTTAGTAAGTCACAGTAGAGCAAAGCATGGATCTATGCGATTTAATGTTGAATTTACCAAGACTCATCTGTATATCAAGCTCCATGTTCCAGGAATAATTCATCACTGAATTGGACCTAACCGCATAACGTAACATTACCTATGTGCGAGAAACCTCCTCATTAAAAGAAGCTACAATTGAAGTTTAGTGATATCTAAATGAATAATAAATATTTGAATAGGCGTTTGATAGCAATGTTCTGAGCAAATTCACAGTTTCGGTTTTGGTGTAATTTGATTGATGTGAATATGATTTTTAATGTAGCTTTAACGATTTTTCAGTCATATCGCTACGATGTCTTCAGTGTGGCAGTTTATAGTGATGTCTAGCAGTGGGGTATCATGCCGCAGACATGTAGCATGATGTCCCACCCAGTCACATTAATCTGACACCAGGCCAACCAGTCCTAATACTTACCACTTAATGCTGAGCGCAAAGCGAGGTAGCTGTTAGTACCATTTTTGTAAGCTTTTGGTATGACTCGACCGGGGATCAAACACACGACCTCCCGCATTTGAGGCGGACGCTCAAACCACTAGGCCACTGGAGCGGTTGTTTCGATTTTAGTATAACTTAAAGTCCCTTTTTTCATCCTCTTCATTGTTATAGAAGGCATATACAATATATTTCGAGGCCCATTTGCATCAAAACTGTATCAGTTGTAGCAACTCTTTCTTGGACGGTTCGTAAGGAATCTGAAATCAAAATGGTCTCTGACACTGGGCACGTGGACATTTGTGTAACTGTGTGACATGAATTGGTGTGACAGCGCTTGATTTTGTGAAAATTAATAGTAAATTTCAAGGGTTATTGATACACCAGGGACATTAACGTTTCTGTGGTGTTATAATATCGATTGCATTCCATCTGAGAAAATTAACAGTTTCTCAAAACACAAATGGATGCCACTGGGTCAGAAAAATTCAAGTAGAGTTAATTCTTCTAGCTGAAACGCTCATAAAGTCACAATAACATGAATGCACATTGATCTACCGGCGCATTATGCTACAGCGGATAAGGGGCTTTCTTGTTTGGAGTTGGACGACTTATAGGTGAGAACGGACGGTGTTTCCGTACACCTCTTTGCAAGTAGATACAAATCTTACGCATTGTTGATTTATATAATTCAACTTCGTGCTTGATAAGATTGCACAGATGTCTTGGGTCATCTCAATTCGCTCTCATCCATGATTTCGATAAAACCTTAAAGATAAGTTAAAAATGCATACATTTATACATACATATATACATAGTGATAGGAAGAATCATTGAGGACATACATATAAATACAATACAACAAGTAGATATATTAGTACATTACCAAACAAATGGTTTGTTTCATTGAGTTCATAAAAGTATCTCTCGTCTTATAAAATTGACAAAAAATAAAATACTGAGGAAAGCTCTGGTTTAGACCGTTACAACTCAGTTATTCTATTCTTGATTGGAACTAATTCTAAGTCTTTACCCATACATACGCGCGCGCGTGTGTGTGTGTGTGTGTGTGTGTGTGTGTGTGTGTTTGTGATCATGCACACAAACATAAAATGGGTTTCGGGCATAAGAATTTTCTCTGGTATAATTTTAATTACGGTTACCTTATGTTGAAATTTTCTTGCTTTTTGTTTGTACTATAAGCAGTAAGTATAAATTAAAAAAAAAACATCAACGTATAGTGTAGCGATCTCCAATACATGAATAAAAGTAGGTTTTCTCGACAGAAACAAGCAAACAAAAAGTTTTGGCTCATTTGAACAGAAAGGTCACGTTGGGTCACATCAGCGACAAACTTTTAACCAATATTTGGATCTATAGGTTTATGCATATTCATTGAAGTCTCTTAGTAGAATTGAAAACAGTGGTACCATATTTACCCAAATTTTAAACTCTATATATTTGAACTGCCAATATAAACTCTGTATGTGTGTGTGTTTGTTTGTGTGTGTGTGTGTGTGTGTTTGTGTGTGTGAGTGTGTGTGTGTATGTGTGTGTGAGAGAGAGATTTGGATTTTTAACGTAGCTTTGACAATTATTCAGTCATATCGTAACGCTATCTACCGTGTTTCAGTTTATAGCACAGTGTCATCATGCCGCGGACATGTAGTATCATGTCCAACCCAATCACATTATATAGATACCAAGCCGACCAGTCTTAATATTAACCTGTTAATACTGAGGCAAACTATCCAGCTGCTAGTATCCTTTTTATAAGTCTTTGGTGTAATTCGGCCGTGGTTTGAACCCGTGACCTCCCGCATCCGAGGCGGATGCTCTAACCACTTAAGCCACAGGAACGGCGTTAAACTTACCTTGATTATCTGTCTCTGACTAACTTTTTTTCTCTTAGTGATATATTTAGCTTGGTACAATTCAATTTTATAGGTATAGGAAGATACATAGAGTTTTATATTATGTAATTGATTTCTTCATTGCCAATCTATATTTGTATCCCTTTACTCACAATTTTCTATGTTCATTGCATACGAGCTCATATATTTGCTTTTCTAACTAACTACACCATCAAAATAATTCTTAAATAAAAGATATTGTTGGAACCATATAAATTTACAGAAGTGACACTATCAACTATCAGAGAGCTGAACAAGTATTATAGAACAGCAAGTTTAGTTAATTTCGTCGTTTAAAAGTATCCGAAGTTTAGCTAGATCTTTGAAATAACGATAATGCAAGCAAGAAAACTATAAGCCGATATAGGACGCAAGATGAAAAATTAATGGAGAATGTATAGTCAATAACAAAATTCTTTATTATGTACTTACATGACAAAATAATTGAGTTATTAACCTAGTCATAAAACAAATATCAACAATAGACGATTTTATTACCAATCCAATGGTATGAAAGTATCTGGTTATACACCAATATGAGTAATGTATGACTCTGCCATCAAGGATCAGAAATTTACAGAATTTGTACAAATATTTAAATATTGTATGTTTTATCCACAAGTAGGATCAATGTATTATTTTTTTTCACTCGAATAGAGATTATGAAATATTGAGTTCACTTGTCTTGCACTATTGGAAAAGAATGATTAAAATATGGCATCAGATTTCTGGTTCCACAGGTTATAATGACCGGACAAGAAACCACCACGCATGCCTGCCATTGTACAGTGGCCAAATGATGCGTCAAGAGCCTCTCTGTTCCCGTTGGTCTCGAAAATTTGGTCATTCACTGCAACTAAACCAATGCTGCCTTCAAAGCTAATCTAGCTGAAATGTATCGACTGAGCCGTGTAGTACAAGATATACCATTAAGTATGAATTAAATAATATACTTCACGCATACACCTTGATGACTTGGATTCGTTGAATAGTTGAACTGCTGTAACAAATTATTATTATTATTATTATTATTATTATTATTATTATTATTATTATTACTATCATCATCATCATCATCATCATCATCATCATCATCATTATTATTATTATCATCATCATCATCATCATCATCATCATCATCATCATTATTATTATTATTATTATTATTATTATTATTATTATTATTATTATTATTATTATTATTATTATTGTTATTGTTATTAACACCGTAAATGAATCGGTGTCAGACAAGAATGATCACACTGAATTATAAAAGCTTTTATATTCTTCGTCCTGTAAATACATGCATCATGTGATTGACTTTAGTTTGCCTGTTCGGTTATAAAAATGGTATCATGAAACAGACTATAGTCTTTCTCAGTGGTCGGCAACAATTTGATAATAGTGTGCCCAAGTAGGATTTCTAATTCATTCAGCATGCCAGGAGCCTATGTTTCTATATGTGTATATTCTATACTATATTTGTATACATTATATAAGAACTCGTATATATAAAACTAATACTAAACAAATACATTTGATCTTAAATTTATTATATTAATATTTAATTAAAGAAATTGAACATAAAATCTTCAATTGAATGTAATTAATTTGTATCTCAATGAATGTGATTATTGTCCTTACATGCTCTGGTCAATATCAGACGCATATTTGGTCACTTTCAGCTTCTTACAGGCTTTTGAGTGTTCAGGTATTACGCGACTTCTTTGTAGACTTAAAACAGTTTTCATGTGACAGAAAATCTGTTCACAAGTATAAGTTGAATCAAACGATGAAGGTAGAACAAATGTAACTTTCTTCAAAAGACGAATGCTTTTGGAAGGGATGTACAGCGGTTGAGAATATCAGCCGACTTTTTTTAAACAGTTTCCTTCAGCGATTTCCGCAATTCGGAAAATTTTGATGTCCATATTTCTGATGTCAACATGCTGCATTTCAAAATCGTCAATATCCATCCAACTTAAAGAATCCAGATCTAATTGGGTAGTAGTCAGATTAAGCAAGTTAGGTTAATGAGGTATGTGAATATGGATCCATGAATTTAAAAGTCATGACATCGTTTAGCAAACTCTATTTTGAGTGCTTGAAAGTACTTTTGAAGCTCATTTATGTTCACTGTAAATCAATCTCAATCAGCCTTCATATTTGGGAAGTACTTGAATGTTTTGGCGTTGATGTCACGGCAAAATATGTCTAGTTTCAAAGCAAATCCTTTCCAGTAGCCAAAACGTTCAAGTACTGTTTGACAATGTCCTTGTAAATGCAAGTTCAACTCATTTAAATGTGTCGTTATGTCTGTCAGAAACATCAGCTTCAACATCTAGTCCACATCATTCGGTTCCGGAAAGTGTTACTTTTCATCAAGAAACACCTTGATTGCTTCCAGACAAGATAAGAATATATTTAGGAATTTACCTCGACTAAGCCAGCGAACATTATTGTACAACATGAGATCGGAATATTCACCCTCAATTTCTTGTAGAGGATATTTGAATTGCCTGTGAATCAATGAAGAGCGGGGAATGATAAAGTTGACTATCTTAACAAAAATGTTTTGGAATAAATATGTAACAAAAATGATATGTCGCCGTCTAGTGCACGTAGCAGCCATTATCGTGACCTGCATTTAAAAAAAAAACGACATTATTTTCACCAATTATTACCTTTGGGTAGGGTCGTCCGCGGGCATTGAAAATCACTCTGCTTGCCAAGTCTGGCACATGTGCCGTAGGTTGCCGACCACTGGTGTATCTCATAGCATGATATTATGTGACATAGGTCTAAATATCTGTAAAGTTTGGAACAAACTCTTAAGCATCCAATATTGAAAGCAAGTATATCACATACATATATATTTCACATTCCTCATACATGCATACATGCATATATGCATAAATACACACACACCAATACATACATCCATCCATCCATCCATCCATCCATCCATCCATCCATACATACATACATACATACATACATACATACATACATACATACATACATACATACATACATACATACATACATACATACATACATACATACATACATACATACATACATACATACATACATACATACATACATACATACATACATACTGCAATGTATTGGCAAAGAAGATTTGGGAACTTCATCTTACACTTCATCCCTTGAAATTAAAATGATAGACGTTTTAGTAACAAATAAAAAATTAAAATACTCAACATTTTAAACAAATTACACCTCCCTGTCTCAAATAAAGTAGTCATGTATCTACTCTTGAATACGGATTGTTGGTGTTTTTCTTACATCATGCAGAAGGCAATATATAATGTCATGTAATGCTAGAACTCTATTTTTCAGACACACACAAGCTCTATAACATCACAATGGAAGATTTGATACCCATAAAATAAATAAAAAATTTTAATTGGAATAAATTTTTGTGTGACAGTTAAACATACCTTTCAAGCAAAAGGAAAGCATATCCAATTGGATGTGAGGTCTTTCTGTGAAATACTGCAATGCCTTCCCAGCGCCAAGTTCAATTTGTTCAGTATCAATATAACCTAGGCAGGCAAGTGAGACATCAACTTTGTGCAGCTCATGAACCTATGATTTAAATGAATTTAATCTTTACAGTCCATATTTAAATGTAATATCATGAAATAGGTCGCAAATATAATATAAAGATTTATTCAGCTTGCCTTTATATGAGATATTTATTTGTGTGATTGTGATGTCAGCTGTCATTTTTTTCCATGACGTCTGATCCTATCCTCAATCGTAATTTTAAATATTTTCAAAAGCGTTGATGTATACATGTGACTATATCAACTAAATTGATAAATGTTATTAGCTATTCAAGAACAGAAAATATTCGGGTAGAATGTGAGTTTGGAGTGGCAATTTCTAAGCATGATCCAAAAACACGAAATTATTTCACTGACAACTTGAAGACACGTTGTACAGTTTGGATTACGTCTCCTCTCCATTCTTTAATTCTTAAAAATAGCCCTTACCACAACAGAGTAAATGGTGCATGATAATGTATATCTGGTACTTGTGGGTTGCAGGTTTACTTGTTTTGATTTTCATAGTAAAACTAGCATAGTTTAGCATGGAAATCCCCGTGCTTTTTATAAAGCCCACACCCACTCTGGCGCTGCTACATATATAGTGGCTCTTCAGGCTATTAGTGCAGGGTTACAATTTATTTTTTTAATAAAATGAAAATTTCGCTGTAAATGAAACCTGGGTATATCTCAACTTTCACTACCTCTTAGATACCCCCAAGTAAGGGGCATAAAAACTACCCATTATGCAAACAGTTTCTCCATTGACAAAGGGCCTAAAAATTACCCATTATGCAAACAGTTACCACATTGGAAAGGAGCATAAAACTACCCATTATGCAAACATTTACCACATTGGAAAGGGGCCTAAAAACTACCCATTATCCAAATAGTTACCACATCGGAAAGGAGCCTAAAAACTATCCATTATGCAAAGAGTTACCACATTAGCAATCTATGAACAAAATTAAAAAGTTTGAAAAAAAAATTGAACAATGAAAAAATTGAACACAATAGTTGTTCATTGTACTTACAAGATCAACCAACTTTTAAGGCAGAAAGAATCTAGCTTTCTTCAACTCTTGACAAACAGCTCAGGTACCTGGCACGCATCATGAACATAACGTTTTTTGGGGTGGGTGGGGGAGGGGGTGGAAGCCTCTTCCACCTGTCTGCCGAGTCAGCAATACTTGAATATTTGTCTATAAATCGATACAATCATACAAGATGCATTTACCAAGAACATATACATAAGTTACTAAAATATATAAAGTCAGGAAATGTATTTAGGTGTGCAAATGTGTTATTGCATGTGCGTGGATGAAGAAGATGTGCAAAATATATGTGACTTCATTAAAGAAAAAAACAA